CAACGTTGCAATAAAATCCTGCAATACACCCACTTTAGGAGAAAGTTTGTGGCCATAAAAGAGGTCACCTCAATTAACTGAACTGCATTGGCACTGCTGTTTTTATGCTATTTGATAAATGGTTCTTACATCTCTGTCCATTGAAATGGAAAAAAGTAGCTCTTTGTCTTGAGCCTTCAGGGAACACAGATTGAACACAATTCGTGAGTGATTCTGTCCTTCGGAAGATCCTAGAAGCGTCCACTTGCGTTTCACAGATTGGGTCAAATCCCAGAGTAGCAACTCTCCCCTACAAATTAAAAGCGTGCACTTCGTTGTTCACTTTTTAAAAAAAAACTACTGTCTATATACAGCCTGTATTACGTATATACACACTGCAAGCGTAACAGCAATACAGCTATTCACACATCCACGTGATGTGCCTATACATATATACACACACACACACACACACCCTCCTACAGGTAATATCCATGTTTAACCACGTTCAAAGCTGTCATGCTATTTTCTCCCATTAGATGTTAAATGAACAAAAATACTATTAGTACTATTAGCATTCCCTATTCAGTTAGATTACTGGAGAGACTACGGGATAAATAATAATTTTACAGAGCTTTGAACTCCCACTCTAACTCTTGGCCTGCCTTCTCTCCAGTTACGCTGACAGAGGTGGGGGGTGGGTATAGTCAAGGTTTCCTAAACACTTCTTCCTTAATTATCAATAAATACATCTGAGGTTACTGAGCGTGCCCAGGCCGCTGTGTGCCATACTTACCCAAAACAGCTGGATACAATTTCTTTGGAACGACCACAGGGCCAGTGAACAGTCAGCCAAATGCGCTCTTTAACAGCGGGATCAACGGCTCCACCTCTTCTCTTCACGGGTGGCAACTTCAAAGTCATTACACCTACGGAACCCAGAGGGATCATCTAGATCTAGCACATCAAAATTCTCTGACAGAAAAAGTAGTCCTGTGAATCCAAAGCTTTAAGGACCCTCCCCTTCGCTTTAGAAGTACTCTCTCATAGCGTCACTAGTTCCTACTTTCTAAATCACAGAAGTTTATTTAGCCTGCTTCTACTCACTGAGAAATATATCGATCTGACTATCCCAGACTGAAATCTACCTAAACCAAACTCCTTCCCCCTCTCCCTGTGCAAAGGGAATTATCTGACCTCCTGAGGGGATGCATTCAAATGACTTACTGCTTTCCCAGACAAATAGTTTTGTAATGTCTAACATGAATGTTATCGCTTATATTTCTTGTCCTGCTCCTGGTGAACACCAAGAACGTCCTAACTCCAATTCTGACTTCTTTGGGCCAAGGAAAATCATTGCTAAGAGTCAAATACGGAATGGGGTCCATCATGGGCAGTGTTACAGCAAAACAGAACTTCAATCGTAGTTCTGATTTTTAGTTCCTATTAGCACACAGTAAATCAAGCATAGTGAACAATCAGAGCATTACACTATTAGGTTACCAAACGAAAGGTGTAGTTAGAGAAGAACTCTTCCACCATTTTGTTATTATTTACTTCACTTATGTTATTAACTTTACTCACTTCTGCCTCTAGTACAGCTCCATATTCGTATGGTCTGATCTTTGCTTCCTGAAGCCAGGTAACAGCCTTTCTTCGCAGCCGTATCTTGTGTCAGCTCCCCATTTGGAACTTCACTGTCTTCTAAAGGAAATATCGAATAGCGTCAAAGTCGTGTTATACTTTAAAACTGAAAGGTCTGTATAAATCAGCTGAAACTATATTGCTCTGTATCAGAAAACACCGTAGCTTAACTCATCAGGTGCCTTTGATTAGCTACCACCTTTCTATGAATAAGGAATTGAGTTGCCTAGAAGGAGGATTTCAGTATGAACCAAAAACCACTTTACGAACTATTAATCGTTTCTACGTACCTTGGAGCTCATCTTGCCAAGCAGGTAACCTTTCTTCACCAGGCACAGGGCACCAGGCCAGACAGTGTATTTCATCGTCATGGCCTCT